GTATGTGCACCATGTGCATGCTTGGTTCCTAAGGAGGTCAGAAGACAGCATCACATCCTTGGTGCTGGTGTTAGAGATTGTTGTGAACCATCATGTGGATTCTGGGGACTGAACCTGGGCCTCTACAAGAGGAGCAAGTGGTTTTATCTGCGGAACTCTCTCATCCCTCCAGCCCCTCCGTATGTTTTGTTTTCCTTTGGTATTGGTTAGAATTCTTTGGGGTACCTAAATTGGGTCTTCTGTGATTGATGCAGATGATTCTGAACAATTCCTATAGGGTAAGTAGTATAGAGAAGAAGATGGTTTCCAGCATGGATTCAGCCAAGGCGGTGACTTCCTTACAGAGTGCTACTTTATTTGCCTTACGTGGTACAAGAATTCACTATCCAAGGGCTGATTTTGACCCTTACAATTCAATCAAAGTGGTTAGTTCCTGTAATCTAAAATTTGTTCCCTGCCCTGTCCCTTCAAAAACAAAAACAAAAACAACCCCAACAATCTGGCTAGACAGTCAAACAAAACCAATAATAGCTTTCTTTCATCAGGATCCAAGCTTGGAAAAAGATAAAGTGGTATTGTCAGAAAGCTGGAAAGTAGGAGTATGTGTTGATTAGCAAACTAAGGGACTATTATTGTCTGTTTAAAAAGAATCTTATTGTTGGGACTGAAGCGCTAGTTCAGCAGCTAAGAGCTTGTACTACTCTTCCAGAGGGCTTGAGTGTGCTTCCCAGTATTACTTGGTGGCTCACAACCTTCAATAACTGCATTTCCAGGGGATCCATGACCCTCTTCTGACCTCCCTAGGCACTGCTTGAATGTGAATCATGTAGGCAAAACATAATACACATGAAGCTAAATAAATCTTAGAAAAGTTTAAAAATAATGACCACATGTGCTAATATCTAGGCATTATTGTAATTTAAGCACCCATTAGGGCTAAGGAGAGGGCTCAGTAGACATAGTGATTGTCGTGCAAGCATGAGGACCTAGATTCAGATCCTGAGTATTTTACATAAAAAAACAAGTCCAGTAATATGTACCTCTAATTCCAGCACCAAAGAAGTAGATCTCTAGGACTTGCTGGCCAACCACTCAAGTTGATACAGGAAGCTCCAGGTTGGGTAACCAACAGCTCTCCAATTAAACTTCAGTCCTACTCAACAGGAGGGAGTCTATGTCTGATACTGGAAATCTAGGTGACTGCTTCTTTCTACTAAAGTCATGGTTATTGGAGGAGAATCCATAACCACTAATTGACTAAACCAGCATAATCCCTAGCAATAGTCTATAAACATTTGTTCTTACATCTACAGATAAGTGTAGTCTTCATCAAGAAAACGTCCCTTTGTAGCAGAGACCATTATAGAAAACCACAACCAATCAAAATGCAGAGTTGTGGAGACCAGTTCCAATGACTATATCTACAAAGCACTTCTACTCTTAAGGTTCAGGGAACATTTCAGAAAGACTGTAAGAACCAGGGAATCAGGAAGTTTGCTGCGAGATTGTGTTTCCTAATTATATCAGAAGCTTACACCCATAAAGTCTCACCAACATGGTTGTGCAGATGTGAGCTGAAGAAGGATGACACCAATGAACTGCCAAACTGGACAGAGAAAAGCCCATGAGGTCTCAACCTTGCAGAAAGAGCTATTAGCAGTAGAGGAAAACTGATAACAGGAAAGATGACCGTCCACAGGGAAGAGCACACCAATTTGTTGTTCAGTAGCAAATGGCCAGCCCTGAAAATACAGGTAGCATTATACCAACTGAACAGGTTGTATTTAGAAATATATGTATATATACATATATGCATGCAATAACAATAAAAAAGAAACTGAATTTCAAGGAGAGCTGGGAGAGGTATATGGGAAGGTTCAGAGGGAGGAAAGGTAAGGAAGAAATGTTGTAATCAAATTAATATCTCAAAAATAAAAAGTCTTTCCTTATATCTCCTTTCCCAAGGTGACTACTTTTATCTGGTGTAAGTAATGTGCTTTTGGCTAAGTTTTCATTTGTAGACATGGCCTATTCTGTTATTGGAAATAATTATCTAGTTCTGACTTACAGCTTCCGAGTCCCAGTCCCTCACAGCTATTCTATACTTCGGATTATGCCAGTCCTCAGTGCCTGTATCAGTTCTCTTATGTAAGCCATCCTCAGCTGGGCCAGATTGTAAATTTTGTTAAGTTTTTTTTCCTTCTGACATTTTAACTTCCTTGAAGATAATTGCTTTTCCTTTGAGTTGGGTTTTTTTTTATTTACTTATTTCTAATTTATGTTTCTGCCAGCATGTGTCTGTCAATTTCCTGTTCATTAAGAAATCTCTTCTGGAACCTTTTGGCTAGGATCAGTCTCTGCCAGTTGCCTGGCAGTCATGTTTGGACTTTATCTGAGAGATTCCTCTTGGCTGTTTTCTATGTTAGATCTTCAATTGCTTGATTCTTTGTCTGTTGTCTTATCATGGTAGAGCCAGTGACTTCTTGAGGAAAGTGTAACAAGAAGTAGATTTTATGAGAGCTTGCTGTTCTGAAAGTCTTATTAATAAGTACATTGAGATTTAGAATTCCAATCTTCATGTTTCCGTTGTAGGTTTTCAAAAAGTCTGTAGCAATTCTGGCTACTCCCTTTCTGTGTATACTGACTTACTAGGAATGCATAGACTTCTGTTTCTAAAGTCTTAAGAGTTCCTTGTGTGAGACTGTTCGCGTCCATAGCGTGGGATACTCCATCAGGCATTATTATTCTGGAAGCTCTAATTGTCTACTGGAATCATTTCTTGGTTTCTTTGTATTCTGTTTTGATGCAGGGATTAAACCTAGGGCCCTTGAGTGTGTTAGGCAAGGGCTATCACAGAGTTAGCTATATCCTCGGTCCTTCTCTCTATTCCGAGTCTTTAATTCTTTATTCCTCTAGACTATTGTAAATTCGTAAAATGTTTTCTTTTCTTCTGTGCCTCCAATGTCTTCTATAGGCATTTTCCTCAAGCTTTTTTTCTAGTTTATATCCGGAATCTGAAAATTTCTTGTGTTATAATTTTCACAATATCCTTTTTAATTTCTGAATTTTATTCGTTTTGTACTATACATCTCCCTCCTGAGTGTTTCAGATACAGAGCTCAGATCCTGCTCTTAGAAGTTGGAATCTGTGAAGGAAGTTCAAGTATGTTATTTTAAGTGTGTAACAGGACTAGGAATGATACCAAGGTGTAAGCGGAGACTGTGCTTTTGTTTCCCTGCCACCCAGACCTGAATAATCATACAAAACTATATTAATTACAACAGTGGCCAAAGGCTCTGGCATATTCCTAGCTAACTCTTGCATCTTAAATTAACCCATTTCTATTAATCTGTGTATATATCACCACGAGGCTGTGGCTTAAGGTTCTGGTGGTGTCTTTCTCCTTGGGCAGTTACACAGCTTCCCTTTAATCTGTCTTCTCTCTTTCTATATCTCTGTTCAGATTTCCTGCCTGGCTTTACTCTGCTAAGCCACTGGCCAGAACAGCTTTATTAAGTGGGGTGAACACGGTGTTTTGAGACAGAGGCAGGGAACTGAAGAGGGCAGTGAGAATTCACCGTGGCTGATCTGCATGGGTGGGGAGAAGCAGCAGGTGAGAAAACTCCATAGGGAGTTCGAAAGTAAATTTGGAAGATGTTTATGGTATGGAAGGAATTTTTGTGTATTAATTGTATATATTTCCACTTTGCTAAATTTGGTAGCTTACACACACACACACACACACACACACACACACACACCATCTCTGAAAAGACCGAAAAGAAGTAGTTTTTTAGGTCTTTCTCTCGTTTGGATTTATATTGGTAGTTTTTACTTTCTCTTTTTTAAGAACCTGGTTTTAGAGCAGGTACACTCTGCCGTCCTTTTGTGCTCCAGTGTCCAAGGTCTTCCTTTTCCCAGCTGTGATGGAGTTAGCATTGCTGAACCTGTGAAGGGAGACCAGGAATGTGGGATGGAGAAGGACTGACCGAAGCCTCAGTCTGACATCACAAACTGGAGGTGGTTGGGAGCTGTGGCAGCTAAGGATGCCCCAAACCCCTTCCCAGGATGCTCTCTAGGAAGTGGAGATGTCACCCCACTTAAACTTTCTACCAGGAAATCCCTTTATCCTACCTTGCTTTTTGTTGCTCTAATTTATTGATCTTAAAATACTGCATAACAGACTTCTCTTGGGTCAAAGAGAGATCCTAGAGCTCCCCTCCTCCACTTGAAGGAGCCCCGTGGGGCCAGGTGCTGAGGGGAGCCTCCTTGTATCCTGCCTATCTCTCTTCTCCAGGGGCGCCAGCTTGCGTTCCATCCCATCTTCAGGTACCTCCAGAAGCATATCTATTTCATTTAATTGGAGCTGGAAGAGGGATCTTGCCCGACTTTCCCACCTTTCCCAGAGCAGGGGAGGGTGTGGGCACACCGAGCTTACTTCTCTAGTTTGAGTATTGAGGTTGGAGCTGCTGCTGAGCAGCCTTCCGGTGTCACAGAGCAGTCATTGCCTGGAACTGACCTCTCAATTCAGAAGCTTGCAGTCCTTATGTACAGAGATGAGAAACTATTGTTTTACGACCTATTCATTAAAGGTTTGATTGAAAACTAAAATAATTTGCATTTAATTGTTGATTTTTTTCTACTTAGTTGTAATGTGATTATAGAATATAATTTTTGTGAAACCAATCCTTTAGTGTTTGTTATTCATCTTTTTGATTTTCTTATAGTTTAATTATGTTTTTCTTTGACATGAGGTCTCACTGTGTAACCAGGTTGTCAATTGACTTTCCATATATACCAGGGTTGCCTTGAAATTTGAGCACTCTTGCTTCAGTCTCCTACATACTTGCATTGCAGACATGTGCCAGTATTGCTGGCAATAGTTTGGTTTCTGTTTCCTGTAATATATGTTATTAAGCAATGTTTAGTGTTGCTTAGTTGAATTTTATGCTAATGGAGTGATTATGTATCCTTGTGTTACTTGCCCTTTCTATTTCAGCTGTGGACTGAAGTGTGTCTCTTCCAGGTTCCCGTGTGGAGCTCCAACTCCAGTGGAATGGTATATGCGGATTGGGAACGTATTGAGTTTAGATGAGGGCATGAGAGTGGGCCCTCTTGTGGGGCTAGTGTCTTCCTAAGGGGCTGGAGAGCGAGCTTCTGCCCTCTTTCTCTGCCTCATGGGACAGTGAGAACTGCTGGTATCTTGATTTTGGACTTGGAGCCCCTAGACCTGTCACAAATAAACAGTTCTACGTAGGCTGCCCGGTCTGCCTACGGAGGCTCCCCGGTCTGCCTACGGAGGCTCCCCGGTCTGCCTACGGAGGCTCCCCGGTCTGCCTACGGAGGCTCCCCGGTCTGCTCTTGCTGTGGCGACAGACTGAATCAAGGCTCTTTTATTCTCCCATTATGATTTGGAAATTTAAATGTTTAAAGATAAGAATATGTTACAGTTTAGCTGTCCTGTGAATGGAGGATATTTGGATTATTTCAGCTTTTAAAAATGTCATTTATAAGCGCTTTCCTGTTGGACATATTAAGAGTGTTACATGTATGCCATTGCTGATAGTTGTTTTTGACCGCAAAAATTGGTTTCATAGGGGCTAGAGGAGCATAGGAGTAAAAGTGTTTGTGAATGACACTTGTGAAATGCTGGTGCCCTTCACCCTCGCACTGGTGGGCTGAGAGTTCTGTGCCTCGGGTTTTTGTGCTATTTTATGCCTATTCTAGTGTGGCGCCTTGGAGTCTTACCATTGTTACTTTAACTGAATGTCACTGGATTACTTTGAGGCTTAATGTCTTTATATTTGTTTATGAACCATCTTATTTTCTTTCTTGTCAAGTTTCTGTTCATGATATTGCTCACATTTTCAATGACTTGGGAAAGTAGGTCTTTTTTTACTGGGATAGGACTTGCTTGGTTGAGTTTAGAAAATATCTACTGAGCCAATTCTTGGTTTGGGATCTTGTCTACATAAAGATGAATAAGATGGACTCATAACCTCAATCTGTATTCTATCAAGGTTTAGTTTATCTGTAAACTCAAGTTCCTCTATTGTCCCTGCACTGAATATACTTACTATAGCTCCATGAGTTAACCCAACGTAACTTCCCTGCTTACTTTAGCCATTTGTAAAGCAGTCTTTGACTGGTCAATATCTACTTTCTTTTTTCACCAGTATATCTGAGTGTTCTGTTTCTCATTCGATTTTGAAGGATGAAATAAGTTACTTTCATTGTAGTGGTAAACTATAATGAGGTTCCCCGCCATACATACTTTCATCTAACAATGTTGGATTTTGCTTCTGTAGTTTGAATTTGATTCCCAAGGACCTTTCCCTCTTTTTTCCAGATTAAAATTACTATCTTTTATTTTCAAAATATCTTAAAATGCTGTTAAACTTGCAAACTCGATCCTAATGCGTGTGAATTATTCTTTCTCAGAGTGAAGATACGCAACAGCAGATCATCAGGGAGACTTTCCATTTGGTGTCTAAGCGGGATGAGAATGTGTGTAATTTCCTAGAAGGAGGATTGTAAGTAGAGCATTTCATAGGTATTTCTGATTTTCAGTGTGTGGTAAAAGTATGTACTCGATGAAAATCCTTCATTATAATTCATTAAATTTAGTGAATTAATTGCTATCACTGTTAGGTATAACTCCAATCTGTAGACATTTTAAGATACCCAGACTTTGTAAAAATTTTCCTCTCCCAGCCTTAGTCCTTTCACCCAGTTTCTTGTGCATTTTATATTTACTGACATATAAAAATATAGCCTTAAAATATTTTACTTATGAGATCACAGTGTTTACTTACATGTTGCGTTTTTTTGCTTAATACTTTGTAAAATTTTGTCTGTAAATACATCTGGAGAAATAGAACTTACCTAGCACAGGTGCTGGCTGCCAGCCCTGATGACCTGAATGTGATCCCTAGGACCCACATAGTAGAAGGAGAGAACTTATTCCCACAGGTTGTCGTTTGGCTTATGTACATCCACATACACAGATAAATAAATGTATTACATTTTTAAAAAATTCTGGGACATCATTCTTTCTAATGGGTGTAGTATTCCTAGTTTAAATGCACATAAAATTTCAGATCATATACTTTATTTTATTATAAACAAAGTCAAAGTCTGCTTTTCAAATATCTATGAATCTAATATATCCCTAGTATAAATTCAGCTAGTAGATGTTTATGTTTTTAAAATGAAAAAAATTAGCTTGAAAATAAATAGATACTGTAAATATTTATTTACAGTACGGGGAAGCAGACCCCAGGCTTTGTGCTTGCTGGGCGAGCGCTTTCTGACTCACGCTCATCCCAAGCTCTAAGTAAATCCTGTAAAATGAGTGGGTTCTATTGACAGCAGTTTACCGCAAAATATTTTCTTCCCCAGTTATGTAGTTAGTACATTTAATATGTTCTTATTGAGAATTAAAACTAAGTATCAGCAAAGCCACATGAATGATAAGATGCATATTGTAAAAAAACAAATCAGGGCAACAGAACCCATTTTTGTCTGACCATATTTTTTTAATCATGTGGAAAGTTTATTTGCATTTCATCAGCTAACTCGTCTTTATTTGCATTTTAAAAAGTTTTATCATGCTGTACTTAAACATGTAATATGTATTTATGATGTGTAGATTTTGGTGTTAAGCTCCTCCAGACTCTAACTTAATGGCCAAGGCAGCCCCTTGCTGTGCTTTTGTTAACCACTGTAGGGTTCTGATCGTCTTTGCCCTAGCCATTGCTTCTCTCTTAGCTTCTTACCCCTCACAGGCAGCTCACCTCCACAGGCACATTACACGTGGTAGGTAGAAAATTAGGCTCTGAAATTGACATTCTTCCCTAACTATATAAAAATGGGAAGCAATTGCTGTGCCAGAGACGAAGCTGTTCATCTATCCTCATTCTAGTTTTGGTCCTGGTTAGCCAGTTCCCTTGGTCAGATTGTTCAAATTCTTGGAACTTTGCTTTCTCTTCTAAAATGAAATATTACGTCTAAGAAGATATCAAAAATTAGAAACTTATGTTTATAAAATTTTACATTCTGCCTTTTACCTCTGTACTGTCTACTTTTTAGTCCACTTGACACAAACTAGAGTCATCAGAGAGGAGATACTGAGAAAATGCCTCCATAAGATTCAGCAGGAAGTCATTTTTTCATTAGTGATCAGTGTGGGAGGCCCGGCCCACTGTGGGTGGTGCCATCCCTGGGCTGTGGTCCTGGACTCTAACACGTCAGGCTGAGCAGGTCTTTTGCCACAAACCAGTAAGCAGCCAAGGCCTCTGTACCAGCTCCTGCCTCCAGGGTCCTACCCTGTTTGAGTTCCTGTTCTGATATCCTTCAGTGATGGACTTGTGTGTGGAAATGTAAGCCAAGTTAACCCTTTCTTCCCCAGCCTGACTTTTGGTCATGGTGTTTCATCATAGCGATAGAATCCCTAAGACAATTTCATACAATAACTTGTATCAGTATTAGACTGGTTTAAAGTGAAGTTATGTTTTTAAGGCCAATTATGTTCTTGCCTTGCAGAGGTCCTTAGTTTCTCTGAGCATTAATCTAGTTTGTAACACATTTTCAGAAGCATGGTCTTTTAAAGCGAAACAAAAGATAGCTTAGAGTAAAATTGCCGACGTGCTCATTCTGCCCTTTCAGGGAGTAGTTTGTAACTGTTGTCACACAGACTTCTAAATGAGATCCTCTCTGGACAAGTAACCTGGCATACTGAGATCCTCCCCTGCAGCTCCTCCCCTGATATCATTTGTTTTTGCTCTTACAAAACAAGGAAGTAGTGTGTACTTAGATGTGGTTTCTATAGAGCTTGCAAGTTTAGTGTTATATTTATGGACTAAGAAAAATGTCATACCATATTTGTGAATACTCTTTTAATTTTGATTGTATATAACCTTGTTTTAAATCATGTTAATGTTGAAGTGGTCTTGAGAAGGTGAATTTGGTATTATAAACTTGACTATTATACAGCTAAAGTGTATTTGGAAAAATAGAAGATACCTCAGATAATTCCTAAATTATTTTTTAAAAAATGCTAAAATCTAGTCATATGAATAAAAGAATTTAATGAAAGAATTGAGTATTCATTAGCCTAGTGTTCTTACATTTAGATTTGAGAGCAGTGTTTTTGGAGAGCATCTTGATGCTAAGTCTGTCTAAAACTTAAGATATACTCTTTTTTTTTTCCTAGCTGATAATCAGTCTTAAGCTGTGTATTTTACTGTGACCTATGAAGTTATATCTTGTAAGCATTTGCACATGCTCTGTGATCTGGTTTGCCTGTTCCTTCAGCCTCATTGTTTACTAACCTATTCTTGTCTACTGGCCTCATGTCTCCCTGAAAGTGCATATTGTCTTGACAAAAAGCCCTTTTCAGCCATTGCTACCTGACTCTAAGGTGCTCCTCTCTTCATTGTTCCATGGCTCACCCTAATGGTTAGATGTCAGTCTAAATGTTACACACACACACTCTCTCTCAATGTCCATTTGGAAGTGGGAAGCTCATGGATGTGCTAGACCTGCCTTGGTTCTCTGTGTGGCACCTTCCCCTACCTGTTGACTTTCTCGTCTCTTTACCTGCTATCAGTGCCTGACACACCACACTTACTCAGTGAATACTTTAATGAATAACTAACTAAAATTAAGTACTGGCTTCTTTTACTTGATATTTCTGAAGAAAATTGCTGTCTTAATCTACTTAGCTTCTGAAGTTTACTTGAACGCTATGCCATTGTTACATTCTGTTTTACAAAAGGTCTTAACAAATGCCATTTTGCTTGAGCTAATGAAGTGTTCTGCATTTTGTTCTACATCACTTTAATTACTTTGTTTTGTCATTTAGATTAATCGGAGGCTCTGACAACAAGCTGATTTATAGACATTATGCAACACTATATTTTGTCTTCTGTGTGGATTCCTCAGAAAGTGAACTTGGCATTTTAGACCTAATTCAAGTAAGTTAACAGTTAACATCTTAACTACCTTTAATTACTTTTTTTGATTATATTTTTGTAAACTTAAGATTCAAACTCTATAAAATGATGGTTTGCTTGATAAGTGTTCCATAGTTGATATTGGGTGGGTATGCTGTCACATATTACCTGACAAATCATTTTAGGAGAAAGATTTATTTTGGCTCAGAGTTCTGAAGGTTCAGTCTGCCAGCTGCTCCATCCCATTGCATGTCCATGGCAAAGCAGTAGCGTGGCGGAAGAGCATGGCAGAGGAGGGCTGTTGTCCTCGTGGCGGTTGGGAAGCAAAAGGGCCAGGGACAAGATGAACATTTCAAAGACTCCTCCAGTGGCCCCTTTCCTCCAGCCAGGGTCCACCTCTTGGTAGACTGTTTAGCTGAGAACTTGTAAGTAGATTATTTCACCTAGAAAGACGGTACCCTCATAATCCAGTTCAAACCATATCAAGGGATGTAGAAACTAATCTGTTTAGGACTAATTACAACTAATTTCGTCATGCCTTTTCTGTTCGTGTGAGTTACTGCAAGGAGCCCAAGACTCTGATTCTGTCTGCATATGTCCAAATCTGACCCTGAAGACTTAACTCTCCCAGGCTTCTGAAAAGCTTTTGTAGTGACCATAGAACTCAAGGCCAGTCATAAGAAAACGGATATTTTAAACCTCATCCGTTAATATTTCTTTGATGCTTTAAATTAAATCTTGCTTTTTTACTGCCTTCAACTTTCAACAAGTTGTATGTGTGTGCCTGTGTGTGTGCCTGTGTGTGCGCGCATGTGTGCTTTTTCATTTTATTGAGCCTAGAGATGTTGCATTTGTTTCTTCCAGCATATTTTCTCTTAAAACATCTCTAGATTTCATCTCCTGTTATTAGACTAGTCTGAATTTAGTCATTTTCATCTCTTTCTACCTTCCATGCCTTGGGGATTTTGTCAGCAACTGTCAAGGCTTTGAGATTGTCCTCCATTTGCAAGTTAAGTTGCTAAATTGACCTTACAACCTACAGTATAAAGACCTACAGTGTAAAGACCTACAGTGTAAAGACCTACAGTGTAAAGACCTACAGTGTAAAGACCTACAGTATAAAGACCTACAGTGTAAAGACCTACAGTGTAAAGACCTACAGTGTAAAGACCTACAGTGTAAAGACCTACAGTATAAAGACCTACAGTATAAAGAATGGCAGCAAAAGATGAGACGTGGGCTTGCATTACCAGCAGCAGGAGCATTATTCAGAAAACACCCCGATCCACACTAACATTTGCCTGCACTCGTTCTCAGTCTCAGAGGATGCTGTGAAGGAGCCAGCACCCCAATTGCTCATCACACGGGTGGGGGACCACAAACTTAGGGAGCTGACTTTCTTTATAATGGGTAAATCATGTCTGCTCTTGGGAGAACAAGATTCTCTTTAAGGGAGAAAGTAAACTTATCCTTTGCTGTGGAGGAAGACACTATTTTTCCAAGACTGTTTATCAGTGTGACAGATTTGAAAAGATAGTCCAAGACACTGATAACAATTGCTCTGAAGACAGTACAAGACACAGAGAGCGATTGCCTCTGTTCACAGGATTGCACAAATTTAAAATCTGTAGACTTTTCAGAGTTGCTTCTTACTCACTAGTATTCAGTACAGGACTGCGTGTGTGAAAGTTCTTGGGGAATTTGGAGTTTACACGCACAACATTCCGTAGCCTTATGTCTTCAGACCGGGAACTACACTCCTTCAGAGTTTGCCTTCTGCCCCAGCTTTCTGTTCATGCAAATCAGTCTGTCCTCTCAGTCTCGGTTTCTTCTCTCAGCTGCCTTCATATTTTCCATGTTTCTGTGTCCCTCTGGTTTTAACATCTGGCGTGTTTTTCACTTTTCCTAGTCCTGCCTGGGTCTTGCTTGTCTTTATTCAGTTTAGATTTCATGGATAGTCACAGTACGCATAGCCTTCTATGCACTTAATTCCCTGCCTGTGCTCCTACGTTTGGAAGTATGTTGAAGAAAAGCACAATCCTATTTACTGCTCACGTCAGACCACTGATGTCAGGAAATCCTTAGTGCTGCCCACTAATCATAGTTCATCTGTGGTCCACTTTTTCACCCTGACATCACTTCCTCTAAACTAGCAAGACGTCACGTCCTAGAGCACTAACAACGTGGAAGCAGTGAGAAGAGAACGCTGGCCAGCTCTTGCTGTCGACCTGCCTGTCTGTTCTGTGTTGTGTAGAGGCTGCACTCACTGCTCCTAGCTGAGGAACCAGGCTGTTTAGTCTCACTTCTCTTCTCAGCACCCCCACAGCTCTTCTAAATCATTCCCTCAGCCAGCACTGTGTTCTCCCACCTTTACTCCCCTTCTGTCACTGACATTATTTCTTTCTCTCCTTTGACAACAAAATACGTAGTTATAAAAATATATCTGGAACCCTTTTTGCTCTCTTGCACTATTGTTTCTGAGTTGCAAGGCTCTTAGCAGTCTTCCTCTGCTTGATTCAGTTTGCTCACTTGTGATGAGTACTTTCTCTACGGGATTTCGAGGGTATGTTCTTCCCTGGTTTTCGTCCGTCATCTTTAGTTACTTCATTGTGGCCTTGTCATCTCACCTACCTCTAGTTGTTGATAATGTCATAGGGTTCTGTCTTGGGTATCTTCTCTTTTTGTTGCTTTATTCCTTTTCTAAGGTTATTTTATCCAAATATGATTTGTTTTGGTGGTACCAAATTTAATCTTTAGCCCAGAGCTTTTCTTTGAATAAATAACTTTGAAGCCCAATTTCCTTCTGGACTTCTCCTCTTGGGTGTTAAAGATCTCAAATTTCCTGTGTCCCTCTCTGAGGTAGATCTGAAATCTGTATTTCCTATAGTTTTTGTCTTATTGTTAGCAACAACTTCACTCTTCCAGTGCGGTAGTCGGAACCTGAGTATTTTCTTGTCCTTAGGTCTCACTCTCTGCACCTTGCCTTTATCTTGGGCACATCCTTGCCTGACCACTTACTACCTTCTTTGCTGTTACCACTTGGTTCAGGCCACTACAGTTAATTTGTATTCTGGCAGTTTCCTGGCTGTTCTCCCTGCTTCTGCTGTTTTGGGTCCTTACTTGGTGCATCAGTAAGAAGCCATTGCAGTATGCCACACCTCATACCTTTTATCCTAGACTCTCCATAGCCTCCTGGAGTAAATGTACCACATTTGCATGTCTGTCATAGGCTACCCAAGAGCCTGTGTGTTCTACTCCCCCACCCCCATTGCTTATCTTCCTTCTGTCTCCAGCTCACACGCTAAGCTTCTTGCTGATCTAACAAGCAGACTTCTACTTCAGACTTTGTACTTGCTGACTTCTGTACCTGGAATGTTCTTTCATTTGGTACCCACTTGGCTGGCTCCATATCATTCTTCCAGATTTTGACCCAGATACTACCTTTTCAATATGGAAATCTCTGGCCATGGTTTCTAAAATTTCCCTCTACATTTCTAACATACATCTGTATTTTGTTTTCCTTAGCACACGTTACCATTTTATATGCCATATGGTTGACATACTTTGTTAATCATTTACTGCAAATAGAATAAAAGCTCTATGGAAGCCTAGAGGTTTTGGTATTTACTGACTTATCTACCAGAACTTTCTGTTGCATTGCATTATTATCGTTGATTTATCTCATACAAAGAATAGTGGATCTTCAAGAAATAATTGTTTGATGAAAGGATTTAATATCCATATAAAGTATACAGTATAAAATAATTGACAATAAAGCCTAAAGTTTAGTTAGAATAGTTATACTGAAAATGAAATATAGCTATGACTACATATTATTGACATTTTCTTATCTGAGTTTTGCTTGATGTGCTAATTTATGAGAATCATTAAGACACACACATATATACTGTATATATATAATTATATATATATATATATATATTTAGGACTTTGTATTTTCAGTTTGTATGTAGTCCCATCTCTAAAAACTAAAGAAAGAAGAAGAAAAGTGTGGCGCGCTGCTTGACCAGCAAGCAAGAACGACCATGAAATCGAGGATTCTTCCCAAATCACACTTTATTGGAGCCTCTCGGTTGAAGGGATAGCGTGGAACGAGAGAGAAAGAGAGAGAGAGAGAGAGAGAGACAGAGACAGAGAGAGCAGGAGAGCGAGAGAGAGAGCGCGAAAGCCTCTCAAACCTGTAATTCTGTTTTGTTTGTTTGGTTTTTTTGTTTGTTTCTTTTTTTTTTAATTTAAGACAGAGTCTCATTATGTAATTCTGGCTGGCCTCATGCTTAGTAGATAGGTCAGGCTGGTATTGAACTCACAGAGAGCAGTCTGCCTCTGCCTCTGCCTCATGAGTGCTGGGATTAAAGGTGTGTACTACCATACTTGACAAGTGTGTGATTCTTTTTTGTTTGTCCTAAGATGTATCTTATTTTTATTTATATGTCTATGCACATGCGTATGAGTCCCCAAGGAAGCCAGGAAAGTGTTGGGGCACCTGGAACTGGAGTCACAGGCAGTTGTGATCTGCCTAATGTGGATTCTGAGAGAGCCTTAACTGTTCTTAACTGCTGATCTATCGCTCTAGCTCCCAAGGCTTTAATTTCTTACACTGGTTTTTGAGTATCTTGGCAGGTATCAGTTACACGAGACCACAGAGTAATCATGGTAAGCATTTGCTATGTGTCTGTTTATTCTTTCTTTCTTCATTCCTTTCTTCCTAAATTGGTGGTGGTGGTGAAAAATAATGATTTTAAGATAGACATATGATAAATGAAGTGCAATCCTAATTAGTCTTAATAATAAAAACCCAGAGTCAGATACCAGGGTAAAAGCTGAAAGATCAGAGAAGTAAAGGAGTGGCCACAATCACCTCTCACTTCTGATTCCTCGGACTGAAAAGGCCAGCTCCTGTCTACACCCTGCCTTTTCACTTCCTTTCTCTGCTTCATCATATCACTTTCTGTCTCCTGTCCGTACAGATCTCCAGACGTCTATGGTTAACTTGTGGCTAG